GCTTACTTTGCTTAGCATGATATAATAAAAATCCACCCACGTTGTAAAAAATGGCAGCATTTCATCTTTTCTTATGGCTGAGTAGTACTCCATAATATATATATATATAAATACCACACCATCTTTATCCAATCATCTATCAAAGGGTACTTTGGTTATTTCCATTTTTTGGCCACCGTGAATAATACTTCAATGAACAATCTTTGTGAATAAATGTTTTCAAATTTTTCTGGTAAATATTGAGCAGAAGGGCTTCTGGGTCATATGGTAACTATGTTCTTAATTTTTTTGAGGAGATTCCATATTGTTTTCCATGGTGTCTGTACCAGTCTACATTCCCACCAGCAGTGAGTAAAGGTTCCTTTTTCCTCACATCTCCAACACTTGTTATTACATGTATTGTTGATAATAGCCATTCTAACAAGTGTGAGCTGGTATGATTTCACTCATATGAGGGATATAAAACTGAAAGCAACAAATAAACACAGAAGAAAAGCAAACAAACACTGATAGACACCGATAACAATATGGTGATTACCAGAGTGAAAGGTGTGAAAGGTAGTTCATTATATTTAAATGTTAAAGATGATATGCTGAGACAAGAATTGACATTGGGTGGTGGGCACATAATACAATATGGAGATGTGCCATTGAACTCTACACATTAAAACTATGTAGTTTTATGAGCCAATGTCTTCCCAATAAAATTAATTTTTAAAAGTCAATATTGTATTATATTTTATTGGACAGCAGGGATAAATTTTCAGAACACTTTAAGTACATGTTTAAAATTAAGTTTACATTGCAAATAAGGTGATAACGATTATGCTCTTACTGAATAATGTAGCGTTTCTGTGCTTTACACAGAATTGAGTAGGTTGTTTATTTAGCCCTAAATTTATATTTTGTGAAGGAAACCTATTCTACCATTGGAACATGAAGAATCCCTTTGTCATCAGAGTACTTTCATGTAATTGAAACAGCTAAAGGGACTTTAATTTCCAGTTACAGCTATATGAGCTTAAAGAATGCACCTAATATACTGTGTCTTGGTTTATCCAACTGTTAAATAGGCACTTTTGCTTTGAAGAGTAAATTATTAATATACTAGAGTCCTGCTGCATGAAATTCATGTACTTGAGTGGTTCCCTCATCCTGAACTGTGCCCTCTCACAGTCCAGAAGCATGCAGGGAGGGCCTATGCTATCAGTCGGACATCCTTATCATTGCCATGGAGGTGGGAGAGGCTCTCACCACCACTGCTACACTTACCAGCCATGAGCACTGCTTTTGGCTGAGCGGCACTTCCCCTTTGGGAGAGCACTGACCACCAGGGGGTAACTCCTACATTGAACGCCTGCCCCCTGGTGGTCAGTGCACAACATAGCGACTGGTCATCCTGCCATTTGTTCAATTTGCATCCCCTTTTATTATCTGGGATGATGCAGTTAAAGTTCCAGAAACATGGCAGGTGCTCAAGAAACATTAACTCTCCCTCCATATTCTTCAGCTTTCTATGAAAACAGCATTGGACTTGAAGAAAGAAACACATTTTTCTAATAGTGTGCTTTGGTGGCAGAGAAGGGAGACCTAAAAGGTGGAGGAAGAAGATAGCCTTGATCCTTATTTTCTGATTCTTAATTTTCCTTCACTGACTTTGTTCAAATGGAATAAGATGTCTTCACAATGCAGGAGATTTGGAATGGCCTGAGTATTAATCCTGGCTGATATACAGTGCCCTCAGCAACTCACCTGGGGAAAGAGTATCTGACAGTTTAAATTAGGATAAAACCATAGATTATGAGAAATGCATAGTCTTAGCAGTGAAAATCATTCATAAACTTAACTGTCTTTGCCCAACCTTCTATAGTTCAATTTATGTTCAGAACTATCTGACAAAAACAAATTCTAAATTTATTTTTATAATTGGAAAATTGTGAAATAACTGATCAAAGGTCTAATGCTAAAATTATGATTATATACTAAGAATAAAAGAACATATCTGTGTGAAACTATTGTATTAAAAGACACATTTAAGAGAGCATAACCCTTTATTTCATAACAAGTCACTGAATTTATTTTGTACTTATAATCATGAAATTACAGAACACTTTGAACATTTGAGATAACTTTGTCACATTTACAAAATGCTCCTAGAATGATGAGGCAGAAGCAGACCACATACCCATTGCAATAACAAGCAATAGAATTTTATTCTATGAAGCATCTATGTACATTCAGTGAACACAAACAGCTGTTATTACAGTGATTTATTAAGACCCAAAATATATCCATTTAGGTGAACCATGTCTTAAAAGTCTGTTAGTTAGCCCTTTTTCCTCAACTGCATTGTAGATTCTTCTTAGCCATTCACAGACTCAAAGGTTGGATATATATTTCATTGCCCAACAATAAAAATGTATTTATTGGGGATATTTTGAGACAAATATTTCAAAAATAGTTTGAGTCAGAAATCAATCCTGGATTTGTCTGGTTCCACAGCAGCCCATTTCTATTCACAGTTCTGTTTCTTTCCTCTCTTTGTCTAAACACACCCTTTAACCTCAGTTAGAAAGAAAAAAATATATATTTTAAGAAAAAGACCTTTAATAAGTAACATTACTTTAAAAATAAGAACTGCCTTATGATTTTACTTTAGGATATTATTTTTTTCTTTATCTTTAATGTGGGAAAATCTAACATTAATAGAAAAAAAATAAGCATTTGATTAACAATACTCAAAGTAACATCAAAGATTGTAATTATATCCAGAATTTCCTTGCTGTGGTCTAGTGTCCAGTATAAATAGATGTGTACAATATAGGACCTCCTCTCCCCTCAGACACTCCATGTTACTCTGTTAAAATTCTCTATTAATCACAGCTTCATGTCATTTATACTTTCTTATTCAGGGGTGGTCTTTCCTCCTTTTCCATTGAACTCTATCACCAGAGTACTGACCTTCATCCTCTCTTAACCTCATATGGAGCTTCCTAACCAGCTTTTCTTACTCCAAACCTCACACACGGATAAGATGAAACTTATGCAGTATCTCTGTGGCTCTTTTGTACGTAGGCATCTTCATGAACTCTTCAAATGTCTGGTGTTACCCAACCTCCTCAAGATCATATTCTTGTCTCTACCATAGGCCTCTTTCTAGCATCATCTTTGATCATCTCCATATAAGTCTTAACCTCCAATAAACCTTAATCTTAAAATAAAATTTTTATTTAAGCCCATGCTTCTGTTTCTTTATCCAAGCTGTTTACTCAACTGGAAAGTGTGAGCTCTGTTAACTTCACCTATTGACATATTGATTCCCGAACTCCCATCTCTAAACACATCCTCCAAGAAATTTCCCCTCCGATCTCTTCCTTAAATTGTAAAATCATCTGATTACATGTTCCTTGAGAGTTCATCTTTATATATTCTCTACTGTATCTATGTATCTTATACATAAAAAACAATTACATAATATCTGAATTAGGTTATGTCACTTTCAAAATGCAAACACAAACACAGCAGAACTGACCTTGCATTTCTAGAGCAATATGGCCAATAGTGTTTGGAAACTCCATTTGGAAAGGTATTTTGCTTTGTTTTTGTATTCTTTTGTTTTTATAGAGACTTAGTAAGGATTTTGTGATGTTGCAGTGTCTTCTCAAGGGCTTCCTAGCAATGAAAAACGGTAATAATCAATAGAAATATTATACCAGTATGCCTGGACTTTGGGTTGTATGACATTGAGGAGTGACATGAATTTGATGATGTAAAGTGAAACACTATTAGCTTGGTCAAAAATTATTTTCTTCATGTTTTGGGTGAGATAAATGCTCAATCATTAAACACCCATTGTATCACTTCAACTCTAGCACTATGATCCATGAAATAACCGCAAATGTGGTATCTTGCTACAGGAAATTTAGCAAGAGTCAAAACAGTCACTGGTATAAAACTTAAATAATTTTATACGTATGTATTCATTTATTATATGATTATTAAATTTCCTTCTATATAATCAACATACAAGATGCAAGTACTCTTAATTATTTTTTTTAAATGCTAAATCATTGGCAAGCATGCTGCCCTCATTTTGGCCTTGCTCTTAAGCAAATATATAGCATATTTTATGGCTATATATTGATGTCAGAACATGGGAACACATTAAAGAAAAAAAGAAAGCCCGGTGTTTGCCCATTTATTTACACAAATTTACTTTGCTTTAAATTAGAGTTCATCCATTAAAAAAAAAACAAACTCCTCTATAAAATATATTTTTAAGTTAAAACAAATCCAATAAATTGTGGAATTCCTATTTAAAATAAAACTTTGTATTTAGACGGATTTACTGAGGAATTTGTCCCTTTCTTTAGTAAATCCCTAGATAATCTTGTGACTTTTGTTTGTTTGTTTGTTCTTTTCAGAAACTATTTGGTATTTTAGGAATTAATTTCAAGTGAGCCTAAGTTTATCTATGCAGTTGAAGAATAAAGTATTATCATGTAATTGTAAATCCAAGAGAATAAAGGTGGCAATATTCCTTCTCAGAATGTCTAGATCCTGGTCACTTTTTTATATGGTAGTCCATGTGAGTTAACTTTTCCCCAAATGATTCTAGATCCTTCTGCTCATTATTCTTCCCACCCTCACTTTCCAATCTTTTTAGGCTGGTGTTAAAAACATTTAAAGTAGCTAAAGAACACAAATTCCAGAATACAATAAAAAAGATTCTTAAACAATTATCTCTCAAATGGCAAAACATTTTAAAGAGAAAAGAATAAGAATTCCATTGCAGTCCCTTTGAAAATAAGCTCTACACAATTTCTTGTAAAAGGAATTGAATTCCACTTTTGACTTTTTATTCTCACTTTTAGGAACAGGATATGCATACCTCTGTTTCTGATGTACGAGTTTACATAAAACTGCACAAAGTACCACTGGCCTTGAAAACAAAGTGGTTGTTTGATGGTATGTACAATGAAAGGATATAGAAAAACATCTTTTACTATTTTTATCAATTTTATTTCCTCTTGTAAATATTGCCAACATTCAAAGCCAGGTTCATGGAACACCAATGAGAAAATCAAAGTTACTTATACTAAGCATGTTTAAGTATTTTAAAATATAATCATGCTCAGACAGACTAGGAAAAAACAATCCCAGAATTAACTTTGCCACCATGATAATGAGCAAGTTGGAGCCAAAAAAACTGTATTCCCTTTGAAAATGCATTTCAAATGAATGGCTATCATACATTTGAATGAAGTGTTTTATTCTTCATGGGTACTTTTTTATTTAACTCTAAATTAATGTTCACCTTAAGGATATCTGTAAACACTGGATGTTATACAAATGAATGCATGAATAACTCGTAAATGGTTATATTACATGGCCAAAGTTTAATTTGGCTCTCCATTCAAAACAAGCAGTGTCGGTGGATATTTGGGCATTGTTGTTTAATTTATGCTTTTTTCCCCCCAGAAGTAAATAAGCATAGTAAACATTCAAACATATCTGGGGAGCACACAATGACATACATTTAGATTTTTAATAACAATACTCTAAAAACATAAGTATATCATGACTGACCCTTACTCATGTATTTATTAACCATGTGAAGGAGTTATTGTATTAAAAACTAGAATGTCAACTGTACAGGCGATAGCTTCATCCACTTAACAAGATAGGCCTTTATCAAAACGCTTCATCCTGATAGTTGCTCTTGGCAATGGAAGGCATTCTTAACTTTTATCTCCAAGACCACTCTGGAGATTTTCTAGAAAATTAGGTGATAATGAATGAATACAGGTTTTTCATAAACAATTGATATGCCAAACTAGTTACAATATTATAAAGATTAAAGCCTACAGTTAACTCCCTCTTAACAAAAGACATGTTTTGGAAGCTATTAACCAGCAGGCTTTACATTAGAGTGAACCGTTCTTTGCTCCTGTGTCTAGTAATGTAGAGCCTCCACACTCAAGCTCCTTAGAGGTGCTTCTAACAGTACTCCACCTGTAACCTGGCTTTTGGGCCTGCGACCATCTCCTAGAAGAGAAGATTATAGAGAATTATAACAAATTTGTAAAACTGGCAGTGTCCAAATTTAGGAGATGGGAAAGGCAATATATGAAAATTCCTAAAACAGTGTTTCCAGAACTTTTCTAGTCTGAAAAATGTTAGTAGTTCATATTTAAGACCATGCCCTCAATATGAACTGTTGCTCAATTTGCTAGGTAATAATTCTTTAACCACAAAGCACAGTTCCTCAGTGTTTTTGTTAATTTAGGGAATGTAACATTTGCAGAGCATACAGAAAAAAAAAAAAAAAAATCAATTCTTTCTCCATTTAATTCCAGGGTTGGGAGAGCTAAATATTTCAGTGTTAATTCCTTTTACTACATGAATGCTAAGAAACAGAGCATAAAATGGTTGAAGGTAACACTCTTATATTTTTTTTACCTTGTATTTTAAAAAGATGACTTTGGTGGTTCCCATCCTAGTTTGTAAATTATCAAAAAATTCTATATAATCTTATTAAAGAATGTCACCTCAATAAATTTAAGTAAAAAAAAAAAAAACAACACAATAAATGTAACTAGAGTTCTATTTAATACTGTGTCAGGAAATAGATTTCACTAAAACAGATAAAAAATTGGCCTTTTAATTATGTAAAATGGGAATGTTGTTATTTAATTAATAAAGAATTTATAAGTAAGTTAATTTTTTCCTTGGAGTCAAACATCTTGAAACTAAATCCCAGGAAATCATGGCTTTATGTTTAAAAAAAAAAAAAAACAACCTCTATTCCAAATAGGGCTTACAAATAAAAAGAAAGAAAAAAAATTGACAATATTTTTTAGGTGAAAAATTACTACATAAATATCAGACATTAGAATAGGCTCACTCATATATAGATTGTATTTAAATAAATTATGTATTAAAATTATTATATCTTTAAAATATGAATCCAGGAACATAGTCCAAAAACCCTAATGTGATTTAAGTAATATAAATAAAATTTAAGTAAAAATATATGAGTATTTTAATAGACTGCATTTTACAAATAATCTGTGTTACACAAATTTAAGTAACTTAATATGCAAATTGCTACTTTACCTAACTATGAAAGTCTTAAAATGATGACAATAATATTCACATTTTGGTCATCAGTTCCTCTGAATTTTAAATTTAAACTTCATTTTACTGAAGTACAATAGATTATATTGGATTTAGTCAAATTTCTTATGCTCTTTCTTAGCAAGTAGAACTTATAAGTAAAGATAGGCAACCCAATAAACCAGATTGAACAGAGCAAAGGCTGTTGGGAAAAATATTCGCGAGTAGGAGTCCATTTTGGCAATGCGGATGTGGATCCTTCCCTTCCTCCAGGACCCCGTCTTGCAGTCTTCAAAGCAGCAGAAGAAGCTGGTACAGTCTTTGCCCTCCAGACACTGGTACCCGCGATCATCTTCTCCGTGTGGCAGAGAGATGCTGTTCATCGGAATCAGCGTGGATCCAGGGTGGAGTCCAGGAGATATCTGTGCAGAATAACAAATGACAAAGAAAGGAGCATTATAAAAAAGACCAACCTGTCCCAGCAAGGCAAACTCTAAAAGAATGCAGTGAAAATAATTTTGGTTTGAAAAAAATCAAAGAGGACCCATGGACACGGCAATAGGGTGGGAGGGACCAGCAGGGGGTGGGTAGGGGTTGCTTGGACGGGGTAAAGGAAGGGAGGGAAAATGGGAGGCATCTGTAACACTGTCCACAATAAAACATAGATATATTATTTAAAGCGTAAAAAGAAAAAAAGAAAAATATTCAATTTGAGTGTGTTTTTATGTTATTTACTTTGTACACAACTTAATATTATTTTACATCTCAAAGAGTTTGCACAAAAACGCCTCAGAGATGAAATATATGCTTTATCTTTTAAAGATGATCCACTAAAATATTAACCATAACTGTAATTCTAAACAAACGATATTTCTATGATATTTTACTCTGAAACATTTACAATGCCATAAATGTCTACTTGCTATTTATTATATTATGCAAGTTATTTATTTTAGTAATATTGAGAAAAATAGCAAAGATGACATTTTGATAAACAAGGTTTGAGAAACGGTGAGCGAATTAAAAAATATATATTGATATATTATGGGGTTATAGTAGTGGATAAGCCCCAGGCATCAAGCTTTATGGAAAGAATGGGCAGGAGATAAAAACTCAGGAGTTCAAACTTTGTCTCATTTTTACCAATGTAGCTATTCACAAAACAAAAATTGTATTAGCATCCAATTTTTTTTATAGCTGTGATGAGTATATTTCATAATTTATGTAAAATGATCAGGCTTCATCTTTCCCATCTTACTATTATTATTATTATCAGGATTATTTGGGATACATGTCAAATTAACTTTTATGAATAAAAGGTAACAGGATCTGAATAATAATTAAATGATAAAATATTTTTAAATATAAAAATTAAGCAATCCAGGATACTATGATACATGAAAACAATCACTTTGGAGTCAGACCGGCTTGGGCAGAAATCCTAGTTCTGCCAGTAGAGCTGAGTGTGACCTTGAACAGGAAATGTGACTGTTCTCATGCCTCTGTTGCCTTCTGCTGTACAAGTTACAATGACAATACATGGATCTATTTGGTGATAAGATGGGATAATGTACATAAAGCACCAAGCAAACCATTGGAAACATAGCAAGCATTCAGCTGCCGATAGGCAATACGTATTGTTGGTATCGTTGCTGCTCATATTGATTCCTGAACAGCATCTATATAAAAGCCTAAGTGACCATTACAACAGAATGACAGGAAGGACCGGAACGACCGGTCCTATGATGGTTCTGGGGGGCAGATGCTCAATGCAGGAGCTGACCCCAACCCATAGGCCCCATGGAGCCTGCTGGCCAACCTTCTAGTCCCTCCCTCAGGCCAGCAGGCCCTTATAACCCAATTGGGGCCAGACCCTGGGCTGGGACAGGAAACCAGCTTGGATGGTAGCAGACATGGCCCCTTCCCCAGGGGGGCTGAGGGCCGGCTCCCTCCTTGGGGCTGGTGGCCGACTTCCTGGATCCCTCCCTATAGCCAGCAGGCCTTGATAGGCCTGCAGCCCGCCTACCACAGTGAAGATTGGCCCCTCCTCCAGCCTGCAGGCCCTGATCTCCCTGATGGGGTCAAGACACAGGCTGGGATGGGGAACTGGAGGTGATTGGCAGCAACCAACCTCCCTTGGCGCCTGGATGGAAGGCTTTGACCTCTTGCCAGATACTTGGGGGGAGGGGGATGACGAGGATGAAGTTCAGTGAGAATTCAGGGTATCCACCGAGCTCTCTCCTATTCTCCCTACCCCCTCCCCCCCCCCCCTGGGACACCAGGGCTCACCCACTGGGGAAGCCCCTGTGCTCAGGTGCCGGGCACCACGAAGAGCCCGCCTCACCCGTGTGGTCTCTTCCAGGAGAGCAAGGCCACTGAGATCACAGGGGCCAATTGGGATCCCCATGGGTTCATGCAGGAGCTGGTCTGTGAGGCTGGCCAGGAGAGAGGATGCTGATCGCCTGGCTTCCATATGGCGTAGCTGGGCGGCCTAGAAGCCCATGCTGTGCCCTGGCCTGTGGTGTCCAGCCACGCTCACCACATCTCCACATGGGGACTCGGGCACCGTGACTCAGGTGGAGTGGGACACGGGCGGCACGGGGGCCCCGGTGCTGCTCCAGGGCAGAGGTCAGCTGGGACCTGCCCTTCCAGGCCAGATGCTCACACTTCGATCACCTGCCAGGCCCAGGGACTGCACCCATGCACAAATTTCATGCACCGGGCCTCTAGTATATCATAATTGGCTATAACGTATGTTAAAACAAGTAAGAGCAAAATAACTACAAAAACCCAAAATCTTTTTATTAAAAAAAAAGATTATCAAAAAACATTATTAATGTTTTCTTATTGAATAAAATGGCAATTAAAATATGAATGGAGTTTTAGTAATACTTATTCTTTCAAAACTTCTGCATATTTAGAGTTTATCTTAAGATGAGATTTTTACAGCTTATTATAATCAGTGGTTGTGTTGTCTAAACAGTAAGTACAATGCTGCCATTTTTAAAATTGTTTTAACCTTATCTAAATTCTTTCTAATGAAAATGTCCATATATTTTTAGTCTTAAATCTCAAATAAATATTTCACAAAGCCATGACAAATAAATATTGTACAGGAAGATTTTAAAAGTGAAAACCAAACCTTATAACTTCTTAAAATGTGGATTTACATTGAAATCCATTTTATTTCTAAAGAGGAACATAGACTCCAAACCACTAAATTATAAAAATTCAGCGTATGCAAACAGAAGCAAATAATCACATTTTGTGATATTTTAAAAAGATAAATGCATCAGGCAAGTCATAATATTCATATTAAAAACAAAATGTGCAGCCTGGAGATAAGGAGAAATGCCCTCAATACAAATAAATTCATGACTTCACCAGCTTAGATGTATCATAAAAAGCAGAGACAGTGTTTATTAAACGTTAATGAGAGATGTTTTCAGATGGATACTGGGAATACTTTATGAGACTCCTAAATTTTAGTGGAGCACTAAAATGGTGTAAAAACCGGAAACATTTGTATTCATTTCCCTGTCACTTAATACTTAGTTCAAATGCTCACCAGAGTGAAAAGTGATTAAAATACAAGTTTGTTATTTGGGAATTTCAAGGTTATAAGGTATAAAACACATTTCATATATCACTCAGAACTGCCATAAGTGGAAATATAGTGTGTCTGTCAGAAAATATTGATTGTATATGAAAGGGATGATTAAACACTAAAGTGCACAAAGATAGAGAAAAATTTCAAGTGAGTCACTTAAAAAATGGATTAATCTCTAGTGGTCAAAATCATGGAGACCTCATATGGCAGAGACACCTTATACTGACAATTTTCTTGTTTCTTGCTGTCCCACAAAAACACCCAAAATTCAGAAATTGAAAGAAACTACACTTTAATGATTGATTAATGTGAATAGAAATAGACATTATAAGTGCTGAAAAAATAGTCTAAGAGCTGATGCGATATCAATAAAATGAATATTTTGACTGGCAGACCTGTCAACCAAAAACTACTGAAAGATTGCTCTGAAGAACACAAACATTCCAAACCTTATTTATCTAAAGTGCAACAATATTATCCAGCTTGTAACTCTTCAAGTAGATATCCTCTTCCTCCACCCCCCAAATAGCAAGGATTGAAAAAATAAAAATAAATCAGTTTAAATGATAAAAAAAAAAGAAATAACAAAATTAAATAAAATTTACTCTTACTTTGAATGATAAAGTTTTGAGAACATACCTTTCTTTTGTTATTTCAAAAATCACTAAGAATATAGCTGAATGTAACTTTTTGAAAAATGGATTACATTCTTATTACATAAGCTTTATTATCTGGTTGTATTTTAAATATTATATTACATATATTAGTAACTTTGTTAAATATACAAAATATATTTTAAGTACCAAGACATACTTCTATCAATTAAATATTATTAAATAGTAAATAAAAAAATTATGTACAAATTATATTTATATGTATGTACATGATATAATTATTACATCATATGTTAAGATCATTAATTATATGTTATCACATATTAGTAATATGAATAGAATATATTATTAGGTAATGTTATTAATATTATATAATAGTGACTAATATTACTATTATCAAATATTTATTTAAAAAGTTGTACTTGAAAATGCTAACCTAAGCATACATTTTCTCCTCTCACAAAATCAGGCAGAAATTCATAACTTACAAAATGCACTTCAGTGTTAAAACCACATAAAGGTGAGTCTTGGTGATGCTGAGCTGCCCATCAGCATGACAGAATTTGTGATGAGTTTATAAAAGGCAAAGAACAGATGGAAATAGGCCAGTGGATAAAATTGACTCAAAGAAGCCGCATTTCAGAAAGGGCTCAGGAAATAAGAACAGGATGTGGGATTTGTTCTGTCCATCAGAGTTTCAGAGTGTGGGAGTTTTGCCCATCAACACTGACTTTAGGCAGGAAGAATGGAAATGATAAACAGGACCACAATATGGCCTAATGTTCTACATGTCCATCCCCAGAAGAACTACTGCACACTTGTTAGTCCGAGTTCCACTTTGTTGGAGCATGAGATCAAGATATTTCAATAAATAGATCCTTTAAATTATATTTTAGTTATGCACATCATAGAAAATATTCTGCGTCTGAAAACATATTTGAAATTAGTCGTTTAACTACTAATTCCCTTGGGGTATCTATTTACTTTTCACTTTTACATTGGACTGTCATTTGTATTGCACTTTATTATCTGGCATTTACATGTCTAATGTTTTTTTTCAACAACTAGATTTAAAGATCCTGAAAGCAGAGAACACATTCTATCATTTTTCTCTCCAAAGTGTCTTGTTCATGGCTGGTGAAATAAATCTCTATCATTTTACATTTTAATCAAGTTGAGAGATTACTAGTAAGTTCTGTCCTCTAATGGGTATAACAAGTCACTGGTGTGAGTATAAGATGGTTTCCTGAGATTTCTAATCATCTATAGGCTGAGTGTTCTGATTTCATAATGAACTATTCTTCAGCTGGTAATGACTAGTTTACTACTATTGTATTCCTGTGACCTTTACCTGATTCATAAATAATGTTAATTACATGCTCCCACATAGTTAACTTCTTAGTTTTTTGTTTGTTTTTGTTTTTTAGGCGGGGAGGTATATGTTGACACAAAGATACACAAATCTTGTTTTAAATGAGTAGAAATAAAAACATAATGATATATTATATATTGGATGGGAATATGGACCAAATTAAAAATGTCTTTGATGTTCACAATTAAAATTAAAGAAGAAAAGAAAAAGATATGTTGAAAGGAGAGAAGGAAAACTTAAGAAAGAAAGGACAGAGTAAAGAAGGAAGGAAAGGGAGGCAGGGAGGGAGAGAGAAAGGAAGAAAGAAAAGAAGGAGGGAAGGAGGAAAGGTCAGATGGAGGGAGGGAAGAAGGACACACTAATATATCAAATGGCTATTAAAGTAGAAAGCACCCTAATTGATTTATGTTTTTCTAAGAAGGTTCATTGAAGCCAAAAATCTATTGTGTTAAAGTATCATCTGTTTATAATGAAAATAAATTGGGGTACTCTGGGATCCTCAGTTAAGTAGTCATAGATACATCAACAAAGGGGATTTTCAGTTTTGCTCAATAACAGACCTTTCACTGACTCTAGTCCAAGTTCTTGGTCCTGGTCTGACTATTGTCATAGTAATTTAAGGTTAAAAAAGGGAAAAATACTGTATTTTTTAAATTACTCAGAATTTTTAGCTTATAAAAAAAAACATAGATAGAAGGAAAGTGAAAGAAGGAGGGGGGAGAAAGGAAGAAGAAGGAAGAGAAGGAGAGAAAGACAAGATAGATAGATGAGAGAGAGAGAGAGAGAGAGAGAGAGAGAGAGAGAGAGAGAGAGAGAGAGAAAGAGAGAGAGAGAGAGAGGATTTCTCTGTCTAGGTTGTGCATTTGATTACTGTGGCTGAAACAGGAGAAAATCAGATACACGAAGCTCTTAGGACATTTGAGAAAAGAGCAAGCAGAGGTCTATTCTTTATAAAAGTGTACTCATATTGATTTATCTGATTAGCAAGAATATATGACTGAACTAGACAGGGAGTCAGATTTCATTACTGATCTCAGTTTTTCACCCAAAGTGACATTTACTATTGAAAGAGCTCATGAATCACAGAAAGTAGGGACTATAGAACTTGCTTATGGATAGCTCTAAAGAAAATAATTTTGGTACCCAGGTAGTCAATTATAATAGGTCAAATATAACTTTTATCTGGCTTTGAAATACAGTGCTTTAAAGGGCTCATTTAATTTTTAATGTGTTACATGTATTTTTTCCTTATTTATTAAGGTATTACATATGTGTCCTCCTTTAATTTTTATTCCTTATTTTTCCATCTTTAATACTTTGTTTCTTGGGCCTTATGCTAAATTTTGAATTCTCAGCATGTATATTTTGTATTAAATAACTATTCTAAAGCAGTGCTTAGAACAAGGGTGACTTTAATAAATATTTGTTGAATGAATGATTAAATAAACATCATAATAGTACAGTTTACCCTCCAGTTTGTAGCTTCCTGAATAAATGTAACATGCAATGTGACTGAGAGTGCATGACATAGGATCAGAGTGATTAGCTGCAGCCACTTATTGGTTGAGTGTCCTTAGATGCTATAAAAATAACACCTACATTATATTCTGAGAATGAGATTAGAGAATGCAAGTGAGTTTGTACACCAAAAGTAAAATTTCAAGGTAGTATCTGAACATAGTTACGGATGAATGTATGATGATATGGAAAATCCAGAAGAGGATGATTGGCTTTGATTCAAGGAAATGATAGAAAACCTGCATTTTTTCTTTCCTAAAATTTAGCAGATCAATATTAACATTGACATCATTGTCCTTTACAATTTGTCCATTTATGGGCTATGATATGTGCTATGCATAAGTTAAAATAATTTGAGACACGCATAGGTTAATTCTACAATGAAAGTTCTCAAATGTGTACCGCAAGTTAATCCACTCTGCTTTCTAGGAATATTGTGGTTACCTGAAACAAATTCACAAAGATCTGTGCCTTAGCGTATAACATGAAAAGTAAAGTATAATTTAGAAGTATGGCAAAGCTTTATAAAGAAATTAGTGAAAATGGGGAGGGAGAAAAATCATCATATCCTAGAATTTACAAGTTTAGGAGCAAATATGGAAAACTCAGTGCCTCACTATATAAACACTGTGGTAAGCTTATCATGGCTATTTTATACCGTTGCCATTTATTTGGGTATTTTGGAACAAACCCATATTGGAAACACTTTCTGCAGTCAGCAATGAAGTGCCTTTTAAAATTAATATTGGAGAAAGGGATCTTTACTTTCCAAGTTCTCTGAGAAAAGGTAATAAGGGTCACAAACTTGAGCTCTGGCACTAAAAAAAGACCTGGGTGTGAGTCATGGATCCTTCACTTCCTGCGGCTGTCCTGTGCAAATTACTGAACTTGTACTCCTATGAGCATAATGAAATCACACATGTAAAACACTTAGAGAAGCAGCTGACATGAGCATTGTTAGATATCGCTTTAAGGTTTTAAAATGGCCATTATCACAAGAAATGATAGTCGATCACTCAACACTTGAGTATCTTAGAATCAATTATATCAACTTGATGTGACATAAGTTAGGATGTAAAAAAACAGTCGTTACAAAGGTGATAGGGAAGAGGGAGTGATAAGAGTATAAACATGCAGGATCCAAAAAACAAACAAACCTGGATGGCTATGACTTTCAAACACAACCGAATACCAGTGTGAAGGAAGAATCTTTGTCTCCAAAAGGTCAGTTAATTTTGTGGGCCATCTGTTTTTCAAATTCTAAACACGAACGTAGGATCTCTTTAAAGAATGATCTCAGTCAATTTTTTAGGTATAAGAACCTAGCACTTGGAAACATTCACAGCACACAAAACCAGTCTTTACAAAGGTGATCCAAGCGTCTCCTCTAAGAGGAAATATACTAGTAAATGCACTTTCCTGGGTGGGCCCTGTGAGGTACTCCAGTTTCATTTGATTTTTGCTTGTATTTTGTCAGGGTACCTCAGCGCCCATATTTGTCTAAGGAAGTATAACATGAGCATTCAAGCAGCACCTCTAATATTAAATTGCCATTCATAAAATAAGGATTTTTAACATACCGAGGCCTTGTGTCTTAGCTTTCTGTCTCTAGCAGCCCTTGCTCTTTCGTTGCTGGTAAAATAATGCAAGGTGCCATATTCCATCAAGGCTGCAAAAACGAAAATGAAACACACAGAAACAAAGAGATCCATCGCCGTCACGTAGGAAACCTTAGGTAAGGACTTCCTGGCAATGGTACTCAGCGTGGTCATGGTCAGCACGGTGGTAATGCCTGCGGAGGGAGGGAGACAGTAGAAGATGAAAAATAACCTAACAAGCCATTTTTATCTTTTCTCCTGATTTTGCAATATTGTGAGCAGCAATAAACAATGGACACAAAAGGGTATGATTACTGTGATTTGCAGGGGGAGAAAAAAATACTGGTAACCATAGCTACGTTCTGTTCAACGTGTTCTCCTGTCTGTGTTTTAGTCATCTCAATTCCGTGGACTGCAAGTACTTGACTCCCTGTACCCATCCTTCCTTTGCTCTGTAGTAACAGAGTATTCCATTTTTAAATGTCACAAGGCTGCCTATAAACCCCATCGTGCCAAAAGGAATTTATTTGTTCTTAAAAGGGATATTTAGACTATAGACTTTAAATCTCTCCTCCTTTCTAATATAGGCATTATAAAGCTATAATTTTTTCCAGGCTGGGATGGCTAAATGGATTGAGTGTTGTCCCATGGACAAAGAGGCCCTGGGTTTGATTCCTAGGTCAGAGCGCATGCCTTAGTTACGGGCTGGATCCCCAGGAGGGGGCACGCAGAAGATAGCCATTCAATGTGTCTCTCTCATTGATGTTTTTATCTCTTTCTCCTTCTCCTTCCCTCTCTCTTAAAAATAAATAAAAATGTATTTAAAGCTATAATTTCCCTTTAAGCAATACTTTACCTGGGTCTTGCAAATATTTATATATATTACATATCTATGAAACTTATTTTGAAATATTTTCTACTTTCTCTTTTGATCCAAGGGTTATCTAAAAGGTTATGCCTTAATTTCTAAATATATGAGGGCATGATTATCTATCTTATTTTTAGAAAATTTTTTAACTTACTTCCATTTTAGTTAGAAAATATACTCTGGAAAATTTTAGTCTTTTGAATTCTATCGCATTATTAAGCAGATTCATTAATGTTTCCTCCATGGCTTTCCTGCTCAAAAATCCTATAATAATCTTCTACCACATTTGGAATAAAAACCAAAAAGTTCTTAGAAAAACCTACTAAATTTTATGTAATCTAACCACTGCCCACCCTCTCCAATCTCTCTCTCTCTCTCTCTCTCTCTCTCTCTCTCTCTCTCTCTCTCTCTCTCTCTCTCTCTCTCTCTCTCTCTCTCCCACTTGTCAGTCAGCTCTAGCCACAGTTCTCTTTCTGAACACCAGTCATAGCATCGTGAGGAATATCCCACTTGGGAACCGTCTATTCTCTCAGCCTGCACCATCTTTCTACCAGTTATCCGCCAGGCTAGCTCACATGCTTCCCCAAGTCCCTGCTACCTCCTCCGAGAGGTCTAGCCTGACCACCAGACAAAAGAGCAAACATTATGTCTATCAACCTCTAGTGCTATTCTCTAGCCATTTCTCTTTCTTTTTGCTTTCTCTTTATAACCGTTAGCACTCACTGACATTTTTTCTATGCTTTTTATATCTGTACATTAACTCTATATGCCACCAAAACGTAAGTGCCATAGACATGAGGATTTTATAAATATTGTTCACTGTTAATACTAAAGCACCTAGAACACTGCCTCTTTTATCAAAAGCATTTGATACAAGTTTATAAAAATGAAATCCTATATAATAAAGAGCTAAGCAGACTGGATGGTGAAATCACCTTCTGGGCGACCTTCCAGAATGACCAGTGGGCGGGGCTATGAGGCTGGGAGGAGGTAGCCAGGCTGCAAGGGCTGAGATTTCTTGCACAAATTTTATGCATCGAGCCTCTAGCATTGAATAAGTGAGCTCAGGGAATTTTCCTTCAAATGTAAAAAACTTTATATTCCAACCACATAGAATCCATAATTAGAAGATATCCTTCAATTTAGATCTATCACTTCTCTTTACTAATATAAAAAAATATTAATTCATGCAAAAAAGATTCCACAATTGGCTATGCTCTTTCATGAAACTGTGGGCTTCAGACAAACCCAATAGTATAATTAATTTATTCAAATAATTTTTAGATACATACAATAATAATGTTAAAAACAAAAATATAATATTTAAGTTATATTCAAAGCAGCATATAAAAAAATCATTTCTTTTTTCCTTGACATGAAATGTATCGATAATTTGAAATTATAATTATTTTAAATAGAAAACAAATCTCAGGTATGAGTGCACTTTATCCACTAGTTATGCCTACACTTCTGCTTAGATTCCCAGAGGAAATGCATTTCCAAACACAAAGCTGGATGCCTCAGGCTTTACCTTGCTACTTTTATGAGATTTGCATTTTACTGTATTTATGAGTAAAGTTATTCACTGCTATCTATCATAGAAACAAAATGAAAACCTCTTTGCTGTTGAAAAGAGCAAAAGCTCTTTCTTTGTAAGACACAATTTTCAGCAATGTGATTCACTTCCTGCACTATTGTATTCTTGGGAATTGATCAGTGAGTGGTCTTTGTATATTAATGCATGAATTTAAGGTGTCATCTATAATAATAAAATAATAATATGCTAATTATACTAGACATCCTTCCGGATGACCTTCCTGACAAAGCCAGGGCTGTGAGGGAAGCCGGGGTCCTGGCTGCCAGAGGAAAGTTGGTGTTGGTAGCTGGGGGAAGGAAGGCCTATTTACTCTTGCATGAATTTCGTGCACCAGGCCTCTAGTTTTCTAAACAAATGTATAGCAATTAGAAAAATTTTCTTATATGATGATTATTGTAATGGGTTGCTAAAGAATGAAAATAAAAGTCTATTATATCAAGTGTGAATTACAAATTACCTTTTAAAGTAGTGTTATATTACAGGAAATTCAGAAGTATTCACAGACTATGTCCACAATCTATAGATTACCAAAGCCTATAAGATAATTGTTTCTGATCTGGCCAGTGTTGCCAAGTGGCTAGAGCATTGGCCTGTACACCAGAGGGTCACAGTTTCATTCCTGGTCAATGGCATGTGCTTGGTTTGCAGGTTCCATCCCTGGCCCTGATCAGGGCTCATGTAGTACACATCAATATTTCTCTCTCTATCTCTCCCCAGCCTCCGTCCCACTTTCTCTAAAAATTAATGGGGAAAAAATATCATTGGGTGAGGATTAATAACAACAAAAAGATTCTTATTCCTCTCAACAACCTGCCCTTCAGAATAGATGACTATTCATTAGCACCACTGTAAGAGTAAGGCGCTTCAAAGTCTTCTTAGCACACACTAGTCAATAAATGTTGCCTCTTAGTGATCCAGCTAAAAAAGAAAATAAAATCTTGAAAAGTGATTGAAATTGCTGACTAAATTAAACTCAGTGATTATGTATGATTTTTATGTATATTAATTCTTGCAGTGTATGCATGCTTTCCTTGGCTTCTAGTAATAGAAACAATGAAAATATTTTCTGAAGTTCTAAGTTCTTTGCATTTCTATTTCATTTTGTTTTTCGTGTATGCATTTCAACATTATATTATAATAGAGTAACTTAATTTTTGCTTGATTGCAGTGTAGAGAAATATTTTAATATATTCAACAATAAAGTTTATCACATTAAAATATTTATAAAAGTCCCATGACACTTAATGGGACTTATAGCATAATATGACATGTCATACCCAGTGAGGTTCTCGCAGGTACTGCATCTTTATTGATCCAGAAAGACACCCAAGAAAGAACAACTGTCAGAATGCATGGGATGTAGGTCTGAATAGTGAAATATCCCATTCGTCTGCTCAGGTCAAAAAAAATCGTCATGATCATATAATCCCCTGAAAGGAAAAAAAAAAAAAGAAAAAAGAAAGAAAGTTTTATCATGGTTATAAGTACAAAAGTATAGATTCCAACCCATAAGTTGAAACACAAATGCTATTTCACCAATTTTGTGTTTCTTTCTTACCAGACATCGTGTGATAAACTTGGGTTGAGTTCCGCAACCCTACAAATGCAAACTGATATAATCTCCAAAATTTAGGATCAGCCACTTCTACAGAAGTTTTTTTCCACTTATAGACAATTTCATCTTTAGGGTATCCATCTAGATAACATGTTAAAATAAAATACATAAATTAGCAAGATCCAAATCTGTAACAGTTGCCATATCAACATTATCCAAAGACAATTTTTTTTGAAATTCTTCTTCACTGTTCTACTATACTATATGCCAAAAATACCCCATAAAATGTACGTGTATATTTTAAAGAACAATGACAATTCATGTAACTCCACATAAATTAGGAAATAGAACCCTGCTAGTATCCAGGAAATCTCATATGACAACCCCAATATAGCATTTTCTCTCCCACCTGGAGGTAAACACAAACCTTCATTCTAGGGTAATTCTTTAATTTTTTGTAGTTGTTATAGATATTTTGGTATGCATTTCTAAAAAATAGTTTATTTTTTGAATTCTATTTGATTGCTACTTTATTGAATGTATTATTATATATTTTACTTCTTTTAATATATTTATGCAGTGAATTTTTTTTCCCAGAAGATTTTTTTGTATAGTGATTTTGTATCCTGCAACTTTACTGTATTTACTTATTGTTTCTAATAGTTTTTTTTGGTGGAGTCTTTAGTGTTTTCTATTTATAGAATCATGTTTTTCACAAAAAGTGACAGTTATACTTCTTTCTTCCTTATTTGGATGCCTTTTTTTTTTCTTTCTCTTGTCTATTGCTCTTGTTAGGACTTCCAGTACTATCTATATATATATAAAAGGCTAATGTGAAAAGTGTTTGACAGGGAGACCGGGAGTTGGATCACTTGCTATGATGTGCACTGACAACCAGGGGGCAGTGGGGAATGAAGGAAGGCCCCAGCTGGCAGCCGACAGCTGGGAAGGAAGACCCCGGCCAGCAGCCAAAAAGTCCCTCTCGGCCCTGATTGCCTGCCAGGCTTAGGGACCCTACCTGTGCACGAATATTGTGCACTGGGCCTCTGTGTTGAATAAGAGTGGTAAGAGTGGGCATCTTTGTCTTATGCTTAATCTTAGAGGAAACACTTTCAGTTTTTCACAACTGATTATGATATTAGCTGAGGGTTTCTCATATATTGCCTTTATTATGTTAAGGCACTTTTCTTCTAGGCTCATTTTATTGAGTGTTTTAATCATAAATGGATATTACATCTTAGCAAATGCATTTTATGTATTTATTTGATAAGGTCATATGATTTTTAATATTCTGTTAATGTGATGTATTATATTGATTGACTTGCATATGCTGAAACATCACTGTGCCTCTAGAATGAATTCCACTTAATCATAATGTATTCATTGTTGAAAGTATTGTTGTATTCCATTTGATAATATTTTATTTAGGATTTTTGCATCTGCATTCATCAGGGATATTGATCTATAGTTTTCTTTCTTGTGTTACCCTTGGCGATTTTTGATATCAGCATTATGTTGCCTCATAAAATGTTAAGAAGTATTGCCTCTTCGTCATTTTCTTTGGAAAACTTTGAGCAGGATAGGTATCAAATCTTTTTGAATGTTTGGTAGAATTCACTGGTGAAGCCATATGATCCTGGACTTTTATATTTTGGGAGGTTTTTGATGGTTGTTTTAATTTTCTCTCTGTTGACCAGTCTATTTAGATTTTCCAATTCTTCATGATTCAGTCTAGAAAAAATATATTTCTAGGAATTTCCCATTTCTCTTAAGTTAATGAATTTGGTGGGATACAGACTTTCATAATGTTCTAGTATGAACCTTTGTACATCTGTGATGTCTGTGGTAACTTTTCTTTCATTTCCTTTATTTATATGAGTTTTTCCTCATTTTTCCTTAGTGAGTCACTCAAGGGTTTGTCAATTTTATTAATCATTTCAAAGAACCAGATCTTTGTTGTGTGTGTGTGTGTGTAGTCCTTTTGTTCTTTATTTTAGTTTGGCTTTAATTTTTACTATTTCCTTGATTCTGTTAATTTTGGGTCATTTTTGTCCTTCATTTTCTAGTTCTTTCAGGTTTTTTACTTGAGATTTTTCTTGTTTCTTGAGATAGGCCTATAATGATATAAGCTGCCCTCTTATTACTGCTTTCACTACATCCCAGAAGTTTTGATAAGTTGTTTTGTCATTCTCATTAGTCTCTATATATCTGTTGATTTATGAAATCATTATGTATTTTATCACTTACAGCTTGAAAATTCTAGTGGACAGGAATGTTCATCCATAGGAAAGTTATGAAGCTGAAGATAACATTCTGCATTAATGGTCAACCTATTTAGGTGGAAAAAATAAATATTAAAAATGAGACAATTTCAAGTATTGAAATTATTTTCTCTAATTATCAAGCACAATTTTGGCCTACAATAATGAACTTTGATATACTAGGAAATAATGATTCTATAATCTTGAAGTCTTGTGTGGCAATATTATAACACTCATAAATGAGTTAGGTAGATAATTCTAACATTTCCCTCTCTAGCCAACTAAGCTACCTCTGCACCCATTTAGTCTAATGTTTTTTAACTATTAAAAATTTGTGCTTCAGGAGATCAATACACATACATATGGGCTTGTGCATGTGCACACACACAATTAACAGAGTGTACATGGTTAAGTATGATAGGTTTTCCTCTTAATTTATCATGAACATCTTTCCATTATGGATTATCCTTAAGAAGTAAATATGTTCATGACAACAAATTTAGATAAACCCGAATCTTACATATCAGCATTCATTTAATCTTTTATTAAGGGATTTTTTTTTTACTACATTATAAAAATCATTGTGTTACTGTGAGCATAAACAAGAGTTTTTTGTTTTTTATTTTACCATGCTAAATTTTAATGTATAAACGAAGCATCATAGTTCTTACTTACTCTGCAACTTTAAAAAGGGGAAATTCATGAGTTGACCAAATATTAGTATGAAAAATAAGTTAGAGCAATGACACTTTTTAAAACAGTACCACCTTAAAGTATATAGGACTCGTCCATCATTCCAAATTCGAAGAAGACGATTAGGAGTCGTTATCCAATGAGCATCAGATTTTCTTGAGTTTCTGAAGAAAGTGTCAGGAATCCAAATTTTCCCAACCATATTGCTGTTAAGTACAAGCACTTTCATTGTACTATTGAATTTTAAACGCCTATCATACCAGCTTTGGGCAAAAATAATATCAATTGTGTATTCCTGAAAGACAAAAAGAAGAATAATGATGTGTAATAGAAAAGCCACTCTTTTACATGTTTTCTTTAGATGTTTGAATCTTTATATTAAAAAAGTTTCTTTAGCCGAAACTGGTTTGGCTCAGTGGATAGTGCTTCGGCCTGTGGACTGAAAGGTCCCAGGTTCGATTCCAGTCAAGGGTGTGTACCTTGGTTGTGGGTACAACCCCAGTAGGAGGTGTGCAGGAGGCAGCTGATCAATGTTTCTCTCTCATTGATGTTTCTATTTCTCTATCCCTCTTCCTTCCTCTTTGTAAAAAAATTGATAAAATATATTTGTTTTAAAAAGTGACACTTGATGACTACCTAATCAACCCAACTACAAAATTTGGTTGAATTTTTCTAGTAGCAGCTGACAGGATCTTCTCTAGAATACCTGTTTATAAAAGTGCTAACCACTGTTGAAAGAGCTATGATTTCCAAAGGGTCACACTCTCTCAAGCAGAGAATATTGAGGACATCTAAAAACTTTTCTATACAAAATTATCCCCTCAATCCAGGATCAAGAAGACAAAGATGTCTTGATAAACTGTCCTTCCCAAATCCATAACAGAAGTTAATAATTACAAAGTCTTTTAAATTACTAATTTTTAATAAGTGTCTGACTAAGATAAGAAGGTCATTACAGTTTGTGCCATTTGATATCTAACCGAAAATACAATTTTGTTTACTAGTTTGTATTAGAGTAATTTCCAGAACATGATTAAACTGTTCTTGTACTTCATGTTCCCAGTTAGAGGTTATAATAAGCTGCATACTAAATAAGCAAAATAAACATGAAAAGAAAATTCCATTTACCCAGAACCAGTGCAATAGCCTCTAGGATAGATATTTGGAGATAAGGAACAAGGCTTTTAACATGTGAGAGCCAATGAACATTATGAAATTTACTTTGCTTCCTTGAAAGTTAGCTGAGAACACAGCATTGGTAAGTAAAGATGAAGAAGTGAATCATTTTGATTTCTAACTCCATTAAGTCAAACAGTAATTGATGAAAGTGTATGTAGTGTAATCTTCCCATTACACTGTCAGTTTTCCAATTATGCATGGGTCTCATACTTAACTAGCTAATTCAATATTACTGTCTTTCTAGTAATGAAAGAAAACTTCATATAAAATGCAGACCTGCTTAAGAAACTCTGATAGGTGAATAATTTCATTATGAAATTTGGGTGATTGTGACCTGGTCTTCCCACCTGGAAATTAATCTCTCCCTATACTATCTATTCACATGTCCACATATTACGAGGGGCCAGTTAATGGTTAGCAGTAAATCAAATCTAAGGGCTACAGACGTGTTGAGAAAAGGGTACGAGTGTGGTTTGCAGGGAGGCTATGAAGTGTCAGTCTCCATCAAATGCAGCCTGGAGAAAGAATTTCTCTTCCTCAAGGGACCTCACTCAGCCCTTTCTCTTAAAGCTGTCATCTGATTGGATAATATCCACATTCCTTAGAAAGGATAATCTGATTTACCTAAAGTCTAGTGATGTAATTGTTAGTTGCATCTAAAAAATGCCTTTACAGCAACATGCAGAATTTGTCAAGCCAAGCTTGATGTCAGAACCACCAAGCAGGACAGGTCCATCCTACCACATTTGCATGCCCACAAATCTATTATATAAAGACAAAATTGTAACTAACCTGGGTCTCTATCTTGAAAATAATTCAAAATAGACACCGCTAAAGTCTGACAAAGATGTATCTGAGGTCTCAGAGGTGTAAGTATGTATCCAAGGTCTCAGAGGTATAAGTAGCATGACAGTTGTAATATAATGAGCAAACGGACTCAATAGTATAAAATATTCATAATATTATGGTATTTAGTAAAGCTATCTCCATAGAGTTATTAAATTAGAAGTAACAATGCTGAATCCTGGATAACAACAATCTAGAATATTTTGTTTCTTTCACTTATATCAAATTTCTAACTTTCCCATATTGGACATAAATTCCTTCTATAATAAACAGATACATTATTTTTACGAATTTTTTTTATAATAAAAACAGCATAAAGTCATCATTTGCAACTTAAAATATATTTGGGCTCATACACAGCCTTTTTCTTGGCCTTTGGCCATCTATATTGCTGTATTTTTCATTGTGTAGCCAGTCTCCCTGCTAGGTTTTAGCTTCTCTGAAGGAAGGAAGCAATATAATTTAGTGGAAATAACCACCTGTAACAATATATGCAATAAATATATGTAAGGCAAAGAAAAACCTGAAATAAGAAATATATTTTTATATAAAAAACTAATATCATTTTATATTAAGAAGATCAGAGGTTAATTTAATTTCAAATTCTAAGATCTTTAATGCCATCTATATGGGTAAATGAGCATACTAAGTAAAGAGGCATAGAAATGAAAACAACACTATTCATTTATAATTTCTTATTTGATCTCTTGGTGTTCAATCAAAATGTACTTATATTTTATATTGTTTTAAAGCCTGTAAAAAGAACTAGATTTGTCGCTAATGCCAAAGAAATATGTTAATGCAATATAAAAAAGTAACAAAATTAAAACTATGGTAATAAACCTCAAAGTATTGTACAAATCAAGAAAATGAAGTCTAAACTGCTAAATGTAAATTCTTTCCCCCCCCAATTATTTTAATTCATCAGGTCCAGAAAGATTAAACTTCTTCTCTTTCCCTCCATTAGCATATGCAGGTCAATTATCTAGATCGGGGGAAAAATCTCGTTGTTTATGGTTTTGCTAACTCACAATTTCTCAAATTAATATACCTATTAAGAGGTAACAGTTTCCTGTTAAAAGAGTAAAAGAAATAATCAGGATTGCTTTAATATGCACAAACTATGCTTCAGATTCTATTTTCTTAAATCTAGAAGTTGAAATAACAAAAAAGAGAGAGGGAAGGAACAAGAGGTATGAGCAGAGAAAAAGAGAGATAAACATATTGAACATTAGGACCTATTGCACAAATCATGCTGAAGAAATTCATGGGGAAAAAACTAGTCTGTGAGCACCAGCTTCTCTATTTAGAATGTTTGAACACAGTTATATGTTTCAGAGGTTTATTACCAAAAATGAGGTAGATATAACAAGAGAAAGCAAAAAAGACTTAAAAGTCCTTTCTCACCATATTTAAACAGATTATTAAACTATACACCTACCCCTCACAAACACACATACAAGTTTGATACTTGGCCATCCCACTTGTATAACCACTCTCTTGCTTGCTTAATTAGACTCAAGTCTGCCTGCTTGATTGCACTCATATTCAAAGCAATTTTGTTCATTTGATGAAAACTGAATTTTAATTTTTCTGTATTGTTTAGTTAAAACAGTCTTCTATGTAAACTGCTCCTCATTAATCCCTAATACTTCTCTTTTAATAAACAGTATCAAACATTCTTAATTTTTCCTGTATGTACTTTAATATCACCAGTTTTAATAACAGTTTAATTTAATTGGTCTTTAAAAAAATGCTCACTGTTCCAGATCATACGTGTGTAATTATGTCACTGGGAAATGAATCTTCAGTACTATGAAACTTTTATATAGTCAGATCATCATAATTGGCTCTTGGTATTCATTTTTGTCAAATATCTCTGGAACCCTAATACAGCCTTGAATCCTATTTTGGTTTATTTTAACAAGCATATATTTTTTCTTTAATGAATTCATTAAAATGGAAAACAAAAGCCCAGAGCAAAAAATACACAATTCATGAAACTGTAGACTTCCATATGCTCTTACAGGCTTATCTCCTCTAAGCATTGGTTAATTAAAAATGAATATTTTAAGGTTCTCCAAAAGAAAATTAACATTTCAGTCATATATTGTTTTATGAAATCTCATATTTTCATAAAGTTAAATAATACGCACACAGATACTTAGAATGATTTGTCTTTACAATAATCAACCGGTTGTATAGGAGTTCCATTTAAACTAGGGCTAAATGTTAAAAATTTCATCGAAACTTTCTTTTTTCTTGGCTTATTTGCCACTGTTTAATCATAATTTTCTTGCCAACCTTGCTATTTTCTTTACTATTATACATCAGCCTCGTATTTTGTATAGATTCCTTAGATGTACATATTCCTTAAAGTCTGATACTCATTTCTTTTTTCTTTTTTTTCTATTCTTTATAAGATTGTTTTCTCTGTGTCTCAGGATTTAGCTAATTACTGAAAGATATTGCTGCAGTGCTAACATTTCCCTGAGAGTTAGTTTCTAATTTCAGACTGTCAAATTCAACTTCTCCACCGCCTGTTCATATTCATTTGCTGGGAGGTAACAGAGAGGTCCTGCTGTAGCCGCAATGCTCTCAGTCAGTACAGGCAGCTGTGAAAGTTCATGGCAATCATATGAACATCATACTGAGTAAGAAAGAAAAAAATAAAACCACACAGAGCCTGACTATAATACCATGAGAATGAGCAGACACAGGCGCTTGTTAGGTATGATGACTGTGCAGATATAAAGGGGTTAAACCCTTGTAATAAAGAAACAATTTGACTGCTGTAATAACGAATACGTAAAGTAAAGGAGCAAACCAGCAAAATCTCAGAGAATTCTATTCAGATGGTGTGATGGGCTGAAGTGTATTGCCACAAAATTCATATGAAACTCTAACCCTCAGTACCTCAGAATGTAAAGTACTTGGAGCTAAGTCTCTTAAGGGGGTTATTGAATTACAATAAGGTTGCCAAAACCGGTTTGGCTCAGTTGATAGAGCGTTGGCCTGTGGACTGAAAGGTCCTAGGTTCAATTCTGGTCAAGGACATATACCTTGGTTGCAGGCACATCCCCAGTAAGGAGTGTACAGGAGGCAGCTGATCGATGTTTCTCTCTCATCGATGTTTCTAACTCTCTATCCCTCTCCCTTCCTCTCTGTAAAAAAATTCAATAAAATATATTTTAAAAAATTACAATAAAGTTATTAGACTGGGCCCTAAGCAAATCTGACTGGTGTCCTTTTAGAAGATAAAATTCGAACACACAAAGAGACACCAGTGATGTGCATGCAGACAGAATAGCTCCTGTGAGGACACAGCAAGATGGTAGGCATCTGAAAACAAAGGAGAAAGGGTTTTTAAGAAACTAAACTTGCTACAGACTTGATTTGGGCTACTGTGTTTCAGAATTGGAGAAAGAAATGTCTCCTGTCTGAGCCATCTAGTCTGGAGTGTGTTCGTTCGTTCGTTTGTTTGTTTGTTTGTTTGTTTTTGGTGACTTTTGTTTGTTTTTTGCTGTCTTCAAAGACTAGCAGAGATGAAAAAATCAAGGGAGATAAATATAAGACATTATTGAATCCACTGAATAGGTCCTAGTAAGTAATTTGACTCACATAAATGGGATTATTAGGGTTTGGGGCAGATCATTTTTAACCTATTTTTTAAAATTTCTATGGGTTCTATTGGAGGAGTTAAGTCTTTAAACCAGTAGTAAAATGCTATCTATTCAATTTGGTAAAACATAACTAACAGTCCAAGCTGGTTTGGCTCAGTGGATAGAGCATCTGCCTGTGGATAAAAGGGTCCTGGGTTTGATTCCAGTCTGGGGCACAGGCCAGGTTGCAGGATCGATCCCCAGTAGGGGGCGTGCAGAAGGCAGCCAATGAATGATTCACTCTCATTATTGATGTTTCTATCTCTCTCTTCTTCTCCTTTCCTCTGAAATCAATAAAAATATATTTAAAAACCACATAAATAACATTCTTTATCATTTCCCATCCTAAATGACCTTCCTTTAAATTTTCTCCTATTTTCTCTCATCTCTCCCATATCTACCACAATACTCATCAAATTCTAAGTGAAGTATGTCAAAATCATAAAAGTACTACATTCCCACTATAGACCCATCAACACATGTTGCATGTCTATTCCTATAGCTCATGTTATGTCTTCAAGGACCTGTGACAAGAAGTGGGATATGAGACCAATTTTGAGGATGGAGGAGAGATGTAAAATTCAGTTGTTATTTCTTTTCTACCTTCACCATTCCATGGAATTTCATCTAGCAAAGTTAACCAGTATCATCTGACAGCCAACAGCCGTGGGCCCAACTTAATCCATTTTTCATTGGATTATCACTTACCTTGATAATTGATTATTAGTTCCTTCTTCTTCACATTCTTTAATTTTTCTGATTATATAATATCATCTGTTGCTGGTTCTTCTCCTACCCCTCTCATTTTTATGCATCCCTTTATTTGCACCCCTCTTTCCTCCATTTGTATTTTATAGACATTGGTTTCATTTTAACATCTGGTTCTTAGATCTATGTCCTTCTTCATTTCCATTTTCTCTTGGATCATTTCATGTAGTATTGAGGTTTTAAGTATTCTGTATTCTGCTTGCACCTCTTCCCTTCCCATTTACATCTGTATTCACTCATAACTCTTCCCTGACCAGCAGTCTCAAAATCCAAATGATTGCTGGACAGCTCTTCTGGCACATAGCTATATTCCCTGTTTCAAACAGTAACTCTACCATCTGCAAAGTCTTGTCAGTTACATACCTTGGAGTCAGCCTATGCACAACAAATGAAACTCTAACGTCTGTAAAGTTCACTCATCTAATATTTCTTAAATGTACTAGTGTCTTCTCCTGCTCAATTGCTACTACTCCAGGTAAGGCCTTCATGATCTATTATCCAGACTAATGCAATAACCTCCTAAGTGGCCACTCTAATGCTGGCTTAGCACCTTACATCCATCTTCTATGCTTTTTTAAGAATGGCCTATTAAATACATAAATCTGTAGCACTGGCTGGTGTGGCTCACTTGGTTGGAGCACCAACCTGTACACAGGAAGTTTGAAAATTCCATTCCCGGTTAGGACATAACTTAGGCTGTGGGTTCATTCCTGGTCTGAGCCCTTATGAAAGGCAACCAATCAATGTTTCTCCCCCCGCCCTCTTCCTCTCCTTCCCTATCTCTCTCTCTCCCATCCTCTCACTCTAAAATTAATAAAAATATCATTGAGTAAGGATTATATATACATACATATATGCCTTTCACCCCATGTATTATATATATATATATATATATATATATATATATATATATATATATATCTGCCTATAATATGCTCATGATGAAAAGCTTCCAGTCAATTTCTCTTATCCAAGGGGATATAATTCAGATAATACACAAACTTCCTATTCTGACTTACATGATCATCCTTAATAAGGCATCTAAACATTATTTTGATTCTTTTCCTTGCATTTATGTTCCATATCAATTTTATGAACATTCTCCTGATCTTATCAGACTGCTTTAGTCCTCTATGACTCTGTTCATGCTCCGTCCTCTGTCAGTCAGTCCCTTTCCTTCTCCAACTACTTTTCCCTCAGTCCTTGTGGTTTTCTTCTCCCAGATTTCTTCAGGAATCCACTCTTGATGGCTCAGGTGATAAGTTTTTGTTCCCTAGCATAGTTCCTACCAATGAAGTAAAGGGCTAGACATTCTTAGAGTTGGGGATATTTTAGCCCCAGTGGTTCATACCTGGCACATAGGAATTGGAGGTATTGCCCTCAACTGATTAAGAATTAATGATCAGAAATACTTGCATTTTCATTCCATTATGCGAGAGTTTCGTTTTTTAATGTTCATTACTCACCATATTTATGGGATCAACCGGTCCAATGCTGTTTACATAAACATCCGTTTCAATTACTGTGGGCCTCACTGCAAAACATCAAAGAAAACATGATCAAGGACATGGCCAGAGGTTTCCCGAAATAGAACTTAGTTATTAAGAATCTAAATGAGGATTGCTATTTATTTTTAAAATAATAAAGCATCCCTCACTAGAAACGAAGAAACATAGCATTTTACAGAAACATAAACACCTTTCAGTTTACAAGTTGATTTTACGATGTTTATTTTTGACTGAAAACATCCCACTGCACAACCTAAACATATTTTAAAATACCTAAATAATTTATTAAATCCAAGGAAGTGAATTCAATAAAAATTGCTAGATAATTTTCTCTATTAACAGCCATAGAATTTTAGAATTTGCATGGATTTAAGAGCCTAGTGTTTTCCTAACCCCTTCCCTCCCTTGTTGTTAACAATATTTCTGTAGGTTGTTCAAAAAGGTAGATTTTTACTTAATTCCCACAAAGTATATGCTATGACTGTCACTATGAACTTCATGTTTATACATACCATTTGTGTTTTTTAGTATGTCTTTAAGGCTTATATATAGTATTTTATATTCTATCAAAATGTGTAGCACAGGTCAGCATTACAAACATCTATCAAATGATATGATTCAAGAATATCCATAATCATGCCATATTTGATTATGATTTAGGCTTTCAACCTTTGCCAGGCATTTTTGGTTCCTATAATGAGATTTACTGTAATAATGATAATTTCTACTCATAATGTTTTTTGTTTGCTATGAGAAACATTCTCACATAGTTTCTTTTATCCCTCTTTCCCCACAAAATGTGATATAAAATTTTTATTCTATGATATATCAAATGCTTCTTGAGGAATATCTGTAAAAGTCTTACAAAGCAGACAAAAAGGAAATATAAAGAGAGTGCAAATGAAATAAAGCAGAAAAAAACAAAATAGTAGTATAAAAGTTTCTAAAGTAGCATGTTATTGGTGATATTTACTCACTTCTCCTTTCTAAATTTTGATTTCTCTCCCTGGACTAGTATTTCCCACTCTTACCATTCTGATACTATGTTCCCCCTGCAGGACGCTGCTCTCCCTCTAAATCCTTGCTGAGTTGCCTGTCTGAGTCTCTGTTCAGCCCTGTGTCTCCCTGTCTCTGTACCTTCCAGTCTGGCTGCACTCCCAGACTAGCGAGCTTTAGTGAGAAACCTGAAGCATTTGAAACATAGTGCCTGTACAATTATATAACAGCATTTAATCTTACCCTCTGCAATTAAAAAGAACACACAACACTACACTTAGAAATCCATAACATTGAAATTGTTTTTCTTCAAGCAAAGAAATTATTTTATGGCATACACATTTCTTAGCTAGAAAAATAAATGATTTGTTAGAAATAGTTTTAGAACAAAACTATAGGTTTATAGACCTATACATGACAGTGCAATTTTATTTGCTATCCAACAATTTGATTTCTTAAATAAAAGTAGCTCATATGATTTATACAAGGTTTTATAATTTAACTAAGGCTAATGACTGCTGAGAGAAGGTGCTTTAACCACTTGCCATTTATTTTGACCAGCTATGAATTGCAGCCAATAACTATAATGTAATTAAGCAAATTAGAGCTAGATTTACAGAATGGTTCTTATGAAAGTCAATTAATAATGAGGCAATAGGTTTATTAGTTTCACTCCTAAGTATATTCCTTACCATTTATAAGCAATTGAGTGCAACATACCAGTCTTACTTAATTAGGTATTTTCAGTTCATTTGATAAATCAACAAACACTAACTACCTGTTCTTTATTTCATGATACTAAGGACTGAATAGTTCTATGCCAAGGAGTTAATGATTCCTGAGGACATTTTTATATGTAGGACATACTTTTCATAATTACAGTTAGAAAGTTTTAGATATGAGTGATATATTCTGGTTTTCTGATATCAAAAGAAATGTATTTAAACAATGTATTTACACTTACATTGAAACTCCAAATATAGAGAATTAAATCTAGTAAAATATACTACGGTAATACTTCTTTACAGGAAACATTAATAAGAAAGAAATATGTACATTAAACAACATATAATGCTCATGAATTTGGTATGATAAAAATTTGATAAAGATTTCAATTTCCCTATAACTGGCCATATATTTAATACAATCTCAAAAATAATATTTGCTGTTTTATATATTTTGTTTGTTTTAAGGATTTGGTGGGGGGAATTTAGAAGTTAATTATATTATAAAATTTACATATGAAGGCAAAGGACCTAGGATAGGAATCTTAAAGTAGAACAAGTAGTATTAGTTATACTAAATACTAGAGGCCTGGTGCATGCATTTGTGCATGGGTGGGGTCCCACTGGCCAGTGAAAGGGCCCTGGGAAGTTGAGGAACTAGCCCTGCCCCCAGGTTGAACTTCAGTTGAACTCCTGGTTGAGGGGACAATTTGCATATCACCCTTCTATTTTATAGGTCTAGAGGCCCAGCAGACAAAATCATACGAGACCCAGATCTGCTGTGCCTGTGGGATCCCAGGGCATGCTGCCAGAGCCTCGTGCCCTGCCTTTGCGCCATGTGGAGCTGTGGGCCCCACTTCCACCATGCAGCTCTGACTGGTCATTTGGTCATGATGCCATTAGGGCCTCACGACTTCAGGTCTTTTATAATTTGATAATATCAAGGATTATAATTCTACATTAATTAACACAGTGTGACTTTGGCACAAAATTTGAATTCCTATTTCTCAAATATTCCTTTTATAAAATATTTCTCTAATCCTCAGATAGTTCCATTAAACTTTGCTGTTGCATCTTTCATTGTAGTAGTTGTAAAACAATTACATCAGAAATGTTTACGTGCTTTTATTCTCACATCAGACTATGAACCTCACAAACTAGTGCTGTTCCAGTTAATACTCGTCACACCCAGCACTCTATCATGCATCCGAAACCCAAGAGATAGATGATCTAAAATTAAAATAACATCAGTAAATATGGTTTTGATAGTCCCCCAGTCTCAGAAAGATAACTGAAAACTTACCTCCTATATCTGGGCGAAATTTATTGTCATAGCCTTGCAGCAATGAATTGAGAATTTGTGTTATATCTCCTTCATGAATCTTTGGGGCCAAGACCCAAGTTTTGTTCGCTGTTAAATCCTCATCATCTTCATCATCTGCTTTATCAACACTAAATAATTCCGAAAATAAAACGAACAATAGGAAGTGAAACAAATTGGGTATTTAAAAAAATAGTTCAAGATTATTACACTTTTGTTAGAGAATAGTAAGTAAGAGGGGGGAAAAGCATTAGAAATATTTTATATTCAATAAGATTAGTGTATTCATTATATGAACTCTACTAATATAATAATACTAGAATGTTAAAAATGTATTACAAGAAATGTAACACACAATATTAAAATGAAGTGATATTAAAAATAATACAATAATTATTGGCCATTCTCACAATGACCATTAAAGGCCGTAGAAGTTATGCACTGAAAATTTGAATGCTGGCCCTAGATTTGTGCAGGACAATATGAATGCTGGCCCGAGATTTGTGCTTTCCACTGACTTCTAACTTAAACATATATAGTGGTGACACTAAATAACCACACCCCAAAATAAAAATTAAAAGATAAATAAATACAGGTATCGTTGCAACATTAGTATGATCAAATGTATAAAAATGCATGCATACAAAAGAAGAATTAAGGAAAGATGAGTATAGAAAGGGCTGAAGTAAAAAGAAACAAGTATTGGACACACCTATGCTTATTCTTTTAAGTTAGAAGAACAGAGACCTTTTTTCCCAAAAACTTCATCAAAGGTTGTCATATTATCAGATGCAACATGGGTGACACCCTCCATGTATATTTGGGAGGCAAGTCTCTTAAATTTTAGACGGAGAAGTTAGAATTTAGGGACCAAATAGCCCACTGCCTTTATAATGCAAAGTAGAAAGCTGGAAACAACTGGAATCTAACCAAGCACAACCCTGAGAATCAAGCTCTAACTCTCCAATTAATGCTTCCTGCTAAGAATGCAGCTTACTTCTGAACCATGGTAGAAAATGAAGTGATATAGATATTTATCTATAATTCATCATAAGTAACAAGCTACTCTTATTTTATTACCTGTAAGTAAATCCATCTTTGTTTGAAGAAGATAATATGGGACTTAACACACCCTACTTTAGTAAACCTTAGTCCTCCGGTGAAAACGGTCAAAACACTAAACCCTTATACTAGTAAAATCAGGTAACTTCATACTGTAATTGTTATTTACATATATTTTAAAGATTGGCTTCTGTCCAATAGTGAATATGCAACTTTGTGCTATCTTTAGTTAATCTTTCTACATTATCCATTCAGACCTATTTTGCTTTGGAACTTAAACATCTTATCAAATGCAGCTCCCACACCATTTCGATTTTTTAAAAAATTCCAGTTTTATTCAGATATAATTGACATAGAATATTGCATAAATTGAAGGTATATAACATAATGATATAATATATGTGCATATTGAAAAAAATGATTACCAAAATAAACTTAGTTAACATCCATCCTCTTCATCCTTAATGAGTACAAATTAGTATTAGAAATTGTAACTTAAGTTTACATTATTTGCTATTTCATTTGATCTTCACAATAAGTCTATACTGATAGTCATTAACAACAGATAATGGAGTGCATTATTATTCTCAATATTTCTCCTCTCCTTCCTCTCTGTCCTGTCAGAGAATTATACTTTCCATTCCACTGACTTCTAACTTAGACATATGGCTTGAAATACTTCTTCTTACAAGAGGATTATACACCCCTGTCGCACTGAACTCGTGTGGCCCTGTGATTTGCTTTGACTGATAAAAAAAATGTGATATGTGTCACTACTGATCAGGAGGCTTAATGCAATTTCACGATTCGCAATATATCTCTTGTCCTTCTACCAGAAGACTAGCCATGTTGACAGAGGCAACTCTATTACTTCATTCTGGGAGTGAAGGTAACATGGACAGAGCCGCAGTTAACACACAATGAACTTATAGACTAGATAAGAAATAAAAAAATTAGTGTTGTAAGCCACTGAGATTTGGGGGTAGTTTATTAATACAGTATACAATTTTTATTTCTATGTAAACTACTAGGGTGTATTTAGTTAACAGAATTTTGAAGTGCTCATTTATATTAATTATTGTGACATATTTAACTTCAAAAAATACATACTACTGGTACAGTAGTATGATTTCTTTTTACATATTTGTATTTTTTACAGTATCAACATTCTTGTATTCCAGAAAGCACATGCTCATAGTGATTTATATTCCCCTTTTCCCAGCTAGAGGTAATATGAAAATTGACCTCATGATATTACAAAGCTATCTTTTCTCATATTTGGCAGTAACAGGAAAAGATTTATTAAGGTTAACTTTTCCCCATCTTCTTTCAAAACTTTTAAAATTATCTTCAATCTGTATTAATTACTTTGAATATCATATTAGTATTAGTTTAGTGATTAAAGAGTACTTATCATAATTTCTAAAATAGTTCATATAACATATCTGACATCTCAATGTTCTTTCATAGACTGAAAGACTTTTGTAGCATTTATATATGTTGAGCGAATGAGTGTTCAAACCATTTTGGGAAAACAATTACGATTTTAAGTAATAGTCTGAGAAATTCTGCACATGTTCGTGGAGTCCTTTTAAATAATTTGAATGCACATAATCTTATCATTTACATTTAAGTTCTTGAATACTTTAATTTACCAATTGCTTGTTTAGAAGATTGATGTATTGTTGTTAGTATCTGCTACTGAATGCAGATAGTGCATCATTAAGTGCCAAACTGTGTACTAAGATCCTTCCACATGTTATGTAATTTACTGCGGAGCAATGTATTGAAGAAAATTTTAATATTTATATTTCAAAGATGTAAATGGGTTTATTGATTTCCAAGGATATACACTATTAAATAATAGCCAGGATTTAAAACAATATTTAGTTTGAAGACTTGTTTCCTGTTTCCTTTGAAGTCTGCACAATAAAATTTCATTTTATCTTTGTTATACAGACCAGGGTGGTTGGATTTGGAGTTTTCTAATTCATAAACACATGCCTCAATGATGGTAAGTAATTGGAAGTGCATTAGGATTGAGCATGGGTGGGGTGCCTTGTCTCTGCCTTTGAGTTCTGAGAAATTAAAATAATAATCTCAAGGAATCATACACTCTCTCTGTTGAGAATGACTATCTAACATGTGTATGTATCCAATCCAATGCTGTAATTCACATATGGAAAAAAAATATGTTATATACTACAAATGTGGTAAGTGCGAAAATACAGAGACTAATAACATTACATTCATGATCTAGACTATCTTATTTTTTAATAAAGGAAAAACTAATAAGATGATACATAACTCATGTAATGGACAGCAGTGTGGTGACCCAGGGGAAGGGGGAATGGAGGTAGAAGAGGACATAGAGGGGCAAAATGGTGGTGGAAAAAATAAAATAAATAAATGATACAGAAAAATCACATACAAAGATGCTTATCACTATTATCTGTGGCAAATCTTAAACATTATGAGTACGTTTAAGTAAGTTATGATTTATTCATATGATGCAATTAACATTATCTGAAAAATAACATGTAACACTCAATTTTTATTAAAACTGATTTATAAAATGGCTAAAGATTTAATGAAAAGCAGCCTTTACACTAAGTATGCTACAATCATAGAAACATACAAAAATTTTTGGTATATTAATAGCATACTATAAGCTTTTTGTATGATTCTGAAATATAAATATACAACAATGAGTTAATTTGACATCCCTTCCTATCTTTTCCTATACACCACCAGATAGTGCTCTGAAATACCTTTCTAATCATAAAAAATAAATAATTAACTACAGCCTTTTATAGAGAGAAGCAGAGCTTTATAACCTGCCAAGAAATCGATAGTGGCAGCTCTGAAAATTTGCAACTCGATTCTCCTGCCATGGGGATATAGCTGATTGACAGTCCCATCGCTAGTCCTCTGGAGTAGCCCTGTGTTTGCAACAGACCCCTAGCAAGCCAATCAATTAATGTAAATGATTTTTTATACATATGACAAACACGCATCGAGTTTTGCCCAGGATGGCCTGGTTTACACCTGTTTTTCCAGAATAATTATTAATAGCACCCTTTTCCACTGGCAAAGTGACCTAATTTGGATGATAAATTATACAGTCACCTGAGTATAGTCCATATAAAAGCCCTGGTTCTGACTCCAGGGAAAGGCTCTTCCATAAATCTGTTATGATACGGCAGATGTGCCAAAACCGGTTTGGCTCAGTGGATAGAGCGTTGGCTTGCAGACTGAAAGGTCCCGGGTTCGATTCTGCTCAAGGGCATGTACCTTGGTTGTGGGCACATCCCCAGTAGGGGGTGTGCAGGAGGCAGCTGATCGATGATTCTCTCTCATCGATGTTTCTAACTTTCTATCCTTCTCCCTTCCTCTCTGTAAAAAATCAATAAAATATATATTTTTAAAAAATTGTGTTTATTTATGAACATCAGCTCCTATAAGCATAGTAGGCAAGTGACAAGTTTCAGTAAAGAATGCCAGTTATTATGTTTCAGTGGAGAAGATACCCTAATGTCAAGGCCTCTAAGTACCAGCTTTTAAAGAGTAAGTATAAGCACTGATTTTTAGATCTAGAAGTCAAAGAAAACAGAAGTAAAATAAGAAATGTAAGCCCAAACTGGTTAGAGCATCGGTCTGCAGACTGAAAGATCCCATGTTCGATTCCAGTCAAGGGCATGTACCTTGGTTGTGGCACATCCCCAGTGGGGGGTGTGCAAGAGGCAGCTGGTCAATGTTTCTAACTCTCTGTCCCTCTTTTTTCCTCTCTGTAAAAAATCAATAAAATATATAGGGGGGGGGGGTGGGAAGAAATTTAAGAAAAAAAGGTTTGTTATTTTTTCACCTATATATTGCATTTGTTAAATTCTTTTGTATAAACAATTCTTTGTAGGTTTGTAATGGTTTTATTACTTATAAAAGTTTATAGGGAAGTAAAATAACTAAAAAAGTGATATATAACAGACTTATCAATTTGAACTTTCAGGGTTTTAGGGAGATAAAATAATAGTCCACTCGATGTGGTGATTATTTTATTAACACAAAGAAA